CGGGTTTGGTTTAAACTTCATTAGTTCCTGAGTTACGCATTGGACAATGACATATGCAATCAGGAGCTACAGTCTTAAGCTTAAATAATTAATCATAGACATAGTCAAGGGTACATATAGCTTCTACTGAATCAATCTTGTTATCTGATATATTTTTATATCTGATGGATATAAATGATAAATATCAGCTGATATAACAGAGCGTACTCAAATTACGAATTACGGTTACACGTTATATAGTATTAAGGACCACGAACCATAGTCACAGCCTACGCTTTTCAAAAATTTTCCACACTGAGCTATAGAAAAATTGATCCTGTCAGATTTTGTAATGATATAGCTAGTAGTATTCCAATATATGGCAATTATGTCAAAAAAATTTAAAAATATGTATACTATATGTCCGGAAAACCACATAGGATTCCGTTGTGGAAAGTAAGCTCCACTTCGCAAAACTTGTCAAAGGTTCTTTTTTCCTTGGACTGGAAAGAGATGAAATCAAAGGTCGGGTATATAATCTTCACAACAAAGACGGAGCTGGCAACCATTGCAGACTATGAGGGGGATCATTTTAGGGAGTTCATCCATTTGCTAAGTCTTTAGGTGTCCCATAATCGATCGTCCATTACCATTTTCATATTTCATAACTATAGATACGTTGCAAAATTTAGTACCAAAGAAAAATGCCAAGTTGCACGAGGAAGTTAAGCCTTTGGATAAAATTCAACGGTTATGCGTACGGTTATTTGGTTATAAGAAATAGGATTCTAATAGGACTGGCACCTGTGCTTCGTAAGATTGTAATCCTCGACAATTCTGCTGAGCACACGCGGTTAACAACTATGCAGTTGAAGGTATCCTAGTAACAACTCGCGAGAGTTGTTTTTGTGGGTGGTCGACATGATTCGTTTTCCAAATTGCACATGTGGTGTCAGCGTTATCTTCTTGTGAACTGGTACTGCACGAAAACTGAGTCTGGAGTATTATACGCTGCCTAAATTACGCACAATAACACCTGTGTCTCTTATGCCAGAAAATGCACACTATATATTCACGCGACGTCCTAACTTGATCGCGAAGTTAGGAAACCGCACGTGGAAACATTGAACTAAAACCGTTAAAAATTACTATATTTTTTGAATTACTTGGCTTTTTAGCAACTCTTTTTTCAAGTGAACACAATTATGATGATAATATTGCCACGACATGTTAATAAAACGCACTGTAGCTGCATCTATATATACTCGTCACGGTGGTATAATCCTTTACGACAATTATACTGACTGTGATCTGGGTCCGGAAATTAAAATTCCCATGCAGCTATTTTGAATCAAAAAGCAATTGCAAAAGCAAAAACTCGCGTCTCAAAATAATAACAACAACATCATGATTACATGTTATTCATTTTTTAAGCGATTGGGAGGTTCTAAACTACGTTGTTGTTGTTGTTGTTGTTGTTGTTTAATTTTATCTTAAGTCCTATACGTTTGCAAACTGATTTCGTAACTAGACTAACTATACCCAACATGGGCCAGAGATAAAATGGACCAAATTGCATAAATAAACAATTTGCTATCCATTATCCAATTAAAAGATTTGATATTCAGCCAACAGATGTACATTACGGGACTATAATTTTGTTTCATAGGCTTTTGGAAGGCTGGGATTACTTTCTTGATATTGTTTTATGAATGAATCAATGCTGTAAAATGTAGATAGCACAAATGAAGTGACACCCATTATATCCCAATTGTTTACACATGTTTTAACTCTCTCAATGGAAATTTGATAATTGCGAATTAGGATGTCACAAAAAAGTCTTTGTCTTGTTGGCACAAGCCTGGGAAATCTCGCAGGCCATATGGATCAAGCAGAGAGCGCAGTCACATGGTGTATTGATCGCTAGTTTGTACACGGTATTTGGTCACTCAGGAAAGCATGCCTCGAACCATGCTTGCTCGCCTACTGATTACACACTCATGTTTGTCAGGGAAGTTTAATTGAGGCCACATGGCCTTTTGTTTACCACACTGTTTTCGTTTCGTGAAAGAACCGCATACATTTTACTTTTTTCGCGCGCTTCGAAGGCTTACGCGCCATAAGGCGTGGTAACCTCGTGCCCCAAAAGCCCTCCAAACAATGATGCCTCATTCGCTGCGTGGGCATCGCTTAATCATATTAGGATATATTCTACAAAAAGCTTAACTATTCACTTCTTATTATACTACCGTTATCATATTAAGACATTCAAAATCTTAGCCGACTTTTAATAAAGGAATGAACCAAGCATTTGATATAATATATGCAAATTAGATCTCTATTTTAAGATCATACTTTGCGTTGTAGCATGCGTACGTAGATTTAACTCTGGAGTTCTATACAGATTTTCAACGTCGCATTCGAAGAGATATGAGCCATACTATATACTATATTCGGTTGCCAAGCACTGGCGAGTTTTGTAAGGATAAATATGAAATAGATTATTCGCCTTCTACTTCGTAGAGTCATAGTTTTTCCAGTCCTATATTTCGTGTCAATGATCTGTGTTTACGGCATGTAACGATCAGTATCGATAAGGAATATCGACTTTATTGCGTGGTAGAAAAGTATATTATGGCTGAAGTTTAAGTCATTGCCTATTATCTTTCGTTTATATTTTTACGACGCACCGACGTAGACGAATAACTCTTTATACTAGCAGACTTCTTGAGTTAATCCTATTAAGATTGAAGATGCAATGCGATAAACGAACGCCCCTTCAACAGAAAGTGTTTCTTTAAGCTCACAACATGTTTGTTTTTGTAAAAGTTATTAAATGGCAGTGGCATGTGGGCAAAACAATGCTAAGTTGTAACTATTAGGAACAAAAATGTTTCGACTAAATATAGTGATTTCTTAATAAGGTCAACTTAACCGATGTTTTACGAGCTTTGTTAGAAATGGATTTTTTTACGTGGTAAAATAATCTTAAAATGAAAGATACTGCCTTAGCAACAAACCGGCTCAACATAATAGACTGTGCGTAATGCAATGCTAATTCCGACAATCACGAATATACAAACCTGATATAAGTACTAGATTGTGAGAGAAACTGGTTATGAAATCTCGAGATTATTAGGGTCATCTCGTTTTTGAGACTAACGTTACTTCGGTGCTGTGAATATACAATAAACGAACGACAGTCTAAAATAGGACTTCCACGTTTCACGATAAGTGAATTTCAAACATGTAACCCCCAAGTCTTGATATTTACTAATACAGTTCTGGTATATTCGATGCCCATTATGGGAATTTAATTTTTGAAATAATATCACGAGTAGACGCTGGAAATTTAGAGAATCTTGCAAACTATACGTAAAATATATATGTTCCCAAAAATTTCTTTAATAATCAGTCGTAAGCTACTGAAACTATTCTAACTCCTGCTAAACATTCAAAAGAAGGATACTCGAGATGTCATCAATATCAGCATGTTTATAGGCCGAAGAAGGAAAAAATTCAACTATATACAAAGTCTAATATCAAAGTTTCCATAACACGTTATCCCAAGAAAAAACCCTATCTGTTAATATATTTAACTCCGCTAAATGAAAATATCTTATAATGATATCTCAACTGTATATTAAGCGCTAGGGGTAAAGGCTAAAGTGCGCGTATTTGTTTTTATATGCCTGTATATACCACTTGAAGTAAATTAAGTGGAACGAGTCCTTGAAGGCACTTAGAGCAATTATAGGCTAAACCGAGGCTTAACACTCATTGACTACACTATTTCCATTCTTTAGGAACAATAGGTTTAAGGAGACGAGCTATATTAACAAGTGTATCAATTGCTAAGTATTAATGCTCATCCTTCAACATGTGGAAATCACGACCAGAATATCAATTCAGCTCTGACAAAGATGATCGTTTTGACATTGTATGCATGGGCATAGATTACGACCGAAACAAAGAATCATATTGTCTATTCTGCCATTCACAAGTTGAAAACTCCTATAATAAGTTAGTTTAGCAAGGTTTAGAATAAAAATACAGGGAATTTTGTAATTTGATGGAAAATCACAACACTCAATAGGTGTTCAACAAAATATTCTTACAGGCATAACATCGCTTGCGAAACGTCAATTCCGCAAGAAGTTAAATTACGGCGGTTTTCAGCAGAACGGGAGAGCCGAAGAAATAAGAGAAAAGACAAAATTATGATTTAAAATCCAAATTTATACCAAAGACTAACTTTCGTTTTTACTGATATTTTTACTGACTTATATTGATATCTTCCCGCGGTACAATATGATCATTATTTGTACAACTGCTTTTGTACAACATTTATGATGTATTAATTGTTGCTGGGCACATCGAACCATATATAGTCTTCGCTAAAACTTTGATTGATTTTAAATATAAATGATCCCAATTGGAATCTCATCGTGCATCAAAGCCTGAACAACATATCGTGAATGGGTCTTCAGTAATATGCAAATTAGCAGCTAACTAATAGACTTCAGTTGGCTGAAAATTATAAAGACAAGGCTTTGCCTTTAATTAAACCGCGGTACTTTTTGTACTCTTGAAATCACGGTGGTTACTTTTGGACTCGCAAACAAAGGGTCTAAAAATTTAATTTTTCCAAATGTATTTTTAAAAAGGTTTTATAGAGACCTTTATGTGCAAATATACACAGCTTGAGCACAATAAAAACTTTGTTAAAATGTTGCTCGTATCTGATTGGCCCATACTACAGCTGCATTTTTCTATTTAACTGGTGTCCATTTTAAACGAGATTGTCTTTGAGTCGAAGGGGCACGGATATTACAAAATCGAAGATCAGAATTGGCTAAACTAAAGAGAAGTGTCAAAGGTTTTGGAAATCGAATAGAGATTCGATTAAAGTCGTCACATTCACATCTTGGCTGAACACACAATCACGGCATCAGGTTTCGAAAAGGTGGAGAATTTGCAAAAGATTCAAAGAGAGAAACCTGAACAAAAACACAAATCCAGTCTGAAATTGATATCAAATTGTTTCAACTTGTTCCGTGGATACCAGTCAGTATACAAGGTAACATCTTTAACGCGAAAATACTTTATCGGTTCTATTGGCGAAAAGATTTACCCGAGCGCCTTTGCCTGACCAACCAAAGTTTTATGAAATTGGAATAAAGCAGTTGTAATAATACGACAGCAAACTACAAGTATCAACGGTCTAAAGTAAGAGAGCAGAATTTTACCATCTTATTGACATTCGTGATATAGAAGCCTTTTAGAGACCTATCCGAAGCAATGGAATATACGGATTTTACGTTCTCGATGCCAACTTGCTATCAACTAGGTATCCCAAAAGAACCTTCTCCGACGGAAATCCAAAGTATGGCCTACCCTTTTCCCCCTCAGATGGTCCCTGTCCCTCATCCTCTCTACGACTGCAACCTTGAACCTGCGTTCATACGGAAACGAAACGAGCGAGAAAGAATTCGTGTACGACATGTGAACGAAGGCTACGCGAGACTCCGGGAAAGGCTGCCGAACGAGCCGACCGAAAAACGCATGTCGAAAGTTGAGACTTTGCGTGCTGCCATTCGCTATATTCGAAGATTAGAGATGCTACTTGATAACGCAAAGGACAAGTCAGTTTTGCCGGAAAAGAACACGATTGAGAATAATGATCTCAAATGAATTTCGCCGCGAAACAGAAAATCAAGTCGGTTGCGCAGATTTTCATCACATGCTATACCGTCGTAGAAATATCAGACTTTAGCTCAGAAAGTACAGCTAAACAAATTAAAACATAAAACACTATATGTTATGCATATAAATTTTGGCTTATTTATTTAAGGACTGTTAAAAGACTTATTAAAAGACTTCTCAAGGCTGGCAACGGAATATCTTTATCAAATCCGTCAAAACAGTATTGTTGCAACTTAAAAAGTGGACACTATAGCTCATTAAGAATTTCAATTTTCTCTTTATTTAAAAATAACTTAACGGACGTATACATTTCTAATAACATAGTAACTTTTTCTCATTAAAACAAAATCCCCTTATTAGTTTTGTTTATATAGCCAGACGCTTAGTAACGTCTACGCGTCTGCGAATAGAGGCCACTGAAAATCGCGGGTATTAAAATATGATTCGTTTATATAAATAAAAAAGGCTTTGAATGCATGGCTCAAACGATAGATTGTATATTTTTAACGTAAAACTTGTGTAAATAGTATTGGCTATCAAGCCGTTTTGCTTCTTCGGTAATATGCTCTTTTCGAATTCATGAATATTAAAATTGTCAGTTCAAGCGAATTAATATGTGACAGTAATTCAAGCTGTGACCAAAAGTTGCAAATTGCATGTTTTCGCTCGCTGTTGCAAATAAATGTATCAGCCTATTGTTACATTGTAAAATATGGCTTCGATTCGCTTCCAAGCAAAACGACTTAAACGAATCAATTTTTTAGTGTCGGGTACTCAGGGTCTGTCGGGAAATATGAATGATGCGTGTCAGCGTGATATGAAGATTAATGTAAAATTTATGCCATCTGTTAAATTTCCAAAACATGCATTTAGTATTTAAATCTTTAATTTTCTTATCTAAATCTAATATCTGAAGTTTTCTTGATATATACCTAATTCTTATGACGATTATGCACGGACATCTAATAGGCAATAGAATACAGCTTATGCTCTTTCGTTAGAAACAGTTCAGTATAGGATAGCTACATTTCGAGTATCATCCCTGCGGTTCAACGGTGAAGCATGCGACATATCTTTATAACTTATGTCATTTTTTCGCGTAGCTTGAAAACAGTGATGTAAACATCGGTCAAATCAGTCAAATGTGGCCTGAATTTTTTAGGAAATTATTTTTAAAATTCCACTTGCACCAAAGTGATTTATATATACGCAAGCCCTAGGCTAATAGGGGGCTTCAAAGTTTGAAATATTTTTCAACAATTTCCCAGGGTTTCCTCTCCGCAGATGATTATGCATTGAGCGACTGAAATATCCGACCAAAAGCTGTGGCTTCCCACATAACTTTGTATATCGCCTTAAAATATTGACTTTAATATGAATGGATATTAACCGCATACTCTTTGAACTCACGTGCAGATAATGCTACTATAGTCATGGTTATTCCGATAACCAATTAGCACATTGGATTTTCGGATTATTACAAATAAACCAAGATTCAAGCTGACAGCAAATGTCCAACACAAAGCCTTAAAGACGTTCATTAAGTTGCAGCCCGATACATTTCTCGCGGATTAGTCCATATTTTAAGGAGTGTTAAAAAAGTTGAGAAAGTGCATGCCATAACTAAATTTAAGATATCAAAAGTTTACTTGGACTTGGGGTAAGCTTCATGAAAACATGCACTGAACAAGAATTAACTGAGACATGGAACTAAATGTAGCCCAGCATGTTTACACGGCACCGGAACAATTTGTGGACTGCGTGATAAATATTCGTGCTGCATGATTCCATCGTTCACATGCAGGTAACAGAGCTGAAGATCTCAATGCCTTTTACAAATAGCCTGATGAGCAATCTTGTATGAATGCAATCTTGAAATCAATGAAGTCCTATTACTGCATGCATGAGCCTATATATATTGTTCTTTGGTCACATGCAGTTATTTTGAATTGGACGGTTACTGGTTGATCGAACTATATCTAGCATACGTGCATAATATAGTGTTTATAGTTTGGTACAAGTTTCCATCCAGTTGTATAGGTATATATACAAAAGAGAAAAAACGACCACCCGACTAACCAACATGACGCAGCTGATTACCAACATGATTGCTGTTGCCTTGCATGCATGTGGAAACAATTTGGCAAGTTTAACAAGAAATTTAACATGATGGCAAATACAGAAAGATAATAGTTATTCACATTATAGTCCCCGCAGTAAACTGATTCGGCGATCACTGATTTTTTTTTGCATCATTGCACCGATTGTGATGCACCAAAAATTGAAAAGGCTGATTCTTCATAGCCAGGCTTACTCGTAAGATTCGTGATGTAGCAGTGACGTTAATTCCGTCATTCGATGACGTTTTCGAAGTGGCAAATAACATGATTGATTGACCTACATATATATAACTATGCCTTGACGGGCATGATAAAACTTGGCTGAGATAACTATCTTAACTAAAATAATTTACTCAGTGTGAGAACTATCGTTTACATAAGAAACTCGCCTCCAGGGGTGACTTCCTTTACAAAATACCAATCTGCACACGACAGCAACAAGACGAGGTGACTAGGATTCCTTGGGTTGTCTACTCAGCTTACCATAGTAAAAGCTCTCATATATACGAGCGTTAGGTTTAAGGTTTTAGCTATATTACGAAATGTTCCTCTCATCTGGTAAATTACTGGTATATAGAAACATCTTGTTGTCAAAGAACACAAAGAAACACAGCGATTGGAGTTTAATGTGATGCTAATGTATTGCATATATAATAGCTCTTTTCAAGTTACAACAGACTGAATTGATTTTAGTTGTTAAATACAGTGATAATAAGCTTCAGTGCATTTGTAAATTTAATCGGATTTTTTTCTGTCAGTCGTCTTGAAAAATTAAAGCTCTTTTTCACACCAGCGCAAAATCAATCAAAGGCCCGCTGGTTGAAGGGTATACTGTTTTTCCAACCATCAGCCTCGCAGCATATGAAATTCTAATTCTTCCTTTTTAGTGACTTTGAAGGAAGATATTAACTAATAATTATTATAAAAAGATGGCCGGAGTGGACTTGCTCTTTAATCGGTACACCAGCTCATAGCTGAACGAGGTCCCTGTTTGTAGCCCATGCAGTGGCGTACAAGCACTTACCATGCAAACACTCTACATCGAGAAAGAAATGCATGCATCTTTACCTTAATCAGGTAAATATACATTTATGGAGCACGAGATTTTGTTTTGAAGACATTGCAGCAGAAAGGTACATGCATTATCATACGCTTCTTAATTGACTATTTACCGATTATAATGGGATCAATTTTGGGGGAATTTCTTTAAAATTAAAAAGGCGGCCTATTTGTGCTCACTGACACATTTGACATATAAAATTTCCAAAACAAAGCCATGGGTTCGTTTCCCACGGAAAGGAACAAATATTAAGTGGCCACGACACGGAATTTCTCTTCAAATGTTCATATCCCGGCCTTTTTGATAATGACATTTTGAAATAATGAAAACGCAGCAAGGAAAATTTTTTAGGAATGTTTAATAGATCGTAGAAAGAATTACACCATGATACAGCGATCACATGGGGAATTTGCACATAAAACAAGATCAGTTAAAAAATCTTTCTATAAAATTATAAGAACTTCTTTAGAACTTTATCTAACACGTATACAATATGCAATGAAAATTAAAGATTAATTTTGAGTTTGCCTATATTTATCTACTTTTAGTCATATCATCAAGTTACAATATTAGTCATCACAAATCAAATGCAAGTCGTAACTCTAATCGTGCTTGGATTTTCTAAAAGAGACCGTCAGTGTTTGGTTTAATTCGAAATTTATCAATTAAAAATTTTGAATCCAGCTATTCCCAATTAGATGCGGAACAAGCATAAATGCAAGATCAATTTATCGCGGTCGACTAAGCGTATTATATATGCATGAATCCGTTGTGATAATATACAGTATATGCTGTATCTAGTCGATATAGATCAAAACACTCTACTCGGCTAATTTACACCCGGAGAAAAAATAGATAACATAAAACTATTCAATAACTATACTCGGTCAGTTCTTAACTTCTAGGTGTCGGCCTTGAAAGATTCTGAGAGTATTCTCAATCATTCCAGCTGCGTTAACAATTTAATGTGAAACAAGAATACACACGTTAAGTTGTTTACATAAGGACAAGAGACCAATTTGGTTCAATTTGACGGTGTTTTGCAACTCCTTGGGGTTCCAGGAAAACTCTGCCAGCGCTTAGCTGGACTCCGTAAGTCTTTTGTGCCACACTTGCGTCACAGCGGTGAAATTTTGTCGTTCCGCTTATTTTTAGAAGCGAAGAAACGTCTCGATTTACACGAGCTCGCGTGCTTATTGTGTGTGAATAACTATAGGATTAAGTCTGCTTAAAGTAAACACGCTTGGGAAACAAAGATACTACGCCAATTGGCGTTGTATTGTGTTCATGAGCGAATATAATGAAATTCATATCAATCTTTAAATTTTAACTTATTTTTATTCGAAACTTCATACTTTGTCGCTTTGTTATTCACAGTATGGGGATGAAGGAAATTAATTTGTTTTGAACTTTTCAGTCCTTCATGGCTTCAGAGTTCTGCGTAAATTTTCATTTATGTTTTTAGGTAGCGCTGCTTTCAACTAATATGATTTATTATAAAGAGTTCATTTAACTCATTAACACATCCATGTAAAAAAAACATGTTTGCAAAGGGATGAATTTAAATGCCGCTTGAAAAGGAACTGTGATTGGATTGATAACTTCGCAACAGGGGGTTTGTGGTAAATATATATCGCTAAATTTAAAAGACCTGCCAATGTTTTCGAGTTAGGGAAAGAACTTTCTCGTGGAGCTCTATTTTAAACTAAATTGTCCAGTAAATCATCTTTCGATTTGAGTATTTTTTCTCTGACAATTGCATGTGACCGGCTGGAGTTATAGACTATATTATGTCAAAATTTTCATCAGGGATATTCCACGTTTCATATCTTCACCCCTTTAACTTTAAGAGTTTTTGCCTATACCAAACCTTCAGGTGCCTTTGATTTAAGGTATGCATGCATGAATTACTAAAAATTGACCACAAAATCCTACTTATATATTCCCTTTTCATTTAATCATATATCATGCATGCAGTCACTTTAATTTTCACTGACCAACCCTCCGATATAAATTTTACTCATGATTTAATCAAACCGTGACAATAAACAACGGCGTATACATACATATACTACACCGGATACGCATGTGCTATATATACACTAAACCCGTTGAATGTCTTTTACATGCATGCTCGCTCCAAACCAATCTTTTACACGCCATGCAGCCAACATGCATGCATGCAGTATAATGTACTACAGTGTTCTCTGGCACTGAGACCAACACGTTTGATCCATCTTGTTCGAGATTACTTCAGACATAAATGCCTTTTGTACTTTCATAAAGTAAATCAGCTTTGTTTGAAACTGTAGTCAAGTATCGTATTAATAAATTGTACAAAGCTTTTAATCCATGAAATTAATCCATGAACACAAAGAGTTTAGTGTTTATGAAACATCATTAATTTAAGAATGTTAATGCATGTATACTCAATTTGGAGCAGGATTTAGACTATATAAGCTAAATTGTCATTCACCAGAACAGCAAATATGTTGAAATGCAGTAACTATAC